AAAAAAAAAAAAAAAAAAAAAAAAAAAAAAAGGAATAATCTTTTGACTGTATAACAAATAAAGGCAGTTGAATAAACAAAACTTTTTGCCACAAAAAGCAATGCGAATTTGATTATCGTAGAGCCTTCTTTTTTTTTTTTTAGTCAATTTAATATCAAACACTCTTTACCCTTCTTTGTTTATACATACGATTCCGCCTAACAGTTTAATAAGTTCAAAAAAGAGCAAAAAGAAAAAAAAAATAGAATAAAAGTAAAATTATATCCTCAGATGATGCTCTTTTTTGTTGATCAGTTTTGAATAAACCTTGACTAGTCAGTCAGTCAGTCAGTCAGTCAGTCAGTCAGCCAGTCAGTCAGTCAGTCAGTCAGTCAGTCAGTTAGCAAAGGCAACACATATCTATTAACAGTTACCCATCTCAATTCTATTTTTCCCGATCGATCAATCTTTCGAAAAATGCAAAGCCTAGACACTTGTTTCTTGCTTGCTAACCAAATTTCTCTTTCATGAATCAAAACCAAGAATTTATGAGCGATAACCATTAGCCAGGGAAACAAAAAAAAGAAAAAAAAATAGAAAAGGAAACAAAAAGAACAACGGAGCTCTAAGCACCACCAACTTATCCTCTTAAACAACTCTTTTTTCATAGCAACAACAACAACTACGCACGCATATACCAAAAAACAAAATTCGAAACTTATTACAGTGTTGAAATCAATAAAGTGATTAGCAAATAAAATCAAAAAAAAAAACCTCAAAAAAAAACTCCAGTTACGTCTAAAGATAACTAAGCATCAAATTTATCAGAAAAAAAAAGCAATATATAAGCACCAAATCTGTCAAAAAAAAGCAATAAACAATTATATTTATATATACTGATATATATATCAGCTATTGTTCTGTGTTTATTTATCTATAAACAACGAGACTAACTTCTCAAGAAAATTTGACAATGCTAAAAACTGATAGACGCTGACGCATTAAGAATACCTATGACGCCAAATACTTCTCAAAAGGCATGTAACTGTTGCCTACGTCAGCAGTAAAAAACTTCTTTTTTAAATGATCTTTTTAAATTGAAGTTTAAGTTCAACAAAGGTTCAAGGAACACTCAAAGCAAATATGAAATGTATCTAAAATCTGAAAAAAAATTATCCAAAAATGACAACAATCACCGTTGGCTATTATCCTTTTTCAAACGCCGCCCTATTGCAGTTTTTTAATGTTGATTCGAATTTTCAAAAGTATCAAAAAGCTGCGTGTCACCATCATCAAACTGATGATGATCTATCATATGCTTTTTATTACTTCACCTTTACCACCGAAAGTATATATATTTATAAATATAAATATAAATATATATATATA